AATCCTTTGTCTCTTGTCCTTTCAAAAAGAAAATGTCATACTCATGGTAGTTGTTTTATCATAGCCTTCTTATAGGCCTAAATAAATACATACAGGTATTTGTTTTCACAACTTCTATGGCAACTTTTCTGTGTTACTTATATAGCCTACTTCATAAAGCACAATTGTATCTGTCTGACAACTTTGAGTGGCGCAGTGATACGGAGGAATCTTTCTGAAAAGCAGCCGCACACTCCATTGGTTGTATAGCGCAATTGCGGTCCACTTTTCTTTTTTTTTTAATTGATAAAAAACAAAAAAAAAACAGTTAACTGTGTACACGGAAAAAATGACGTTGTGTAACCGTTTACAATTTTCTGCAGTCGTTCACACCCTAATGGATATAAATGAAGAAAACACGTCCTCTATACATTTTCTGACAACTTTCTCAACAGAAGGACACAATTAAATAAATTACTTTCTTTAAGGTCTATAAAACATGAATAAACGTTACCTTTAGATGGAGAAAAACAAACTGCGACACAGGTTGATAATGAAAGTATTCAGTGCCTTAAACCTTAAACCAAACAAACTTGTTCTCCTTTAACCCCTTACACATTACACAGGCTACATTAAACAGGAAGAAGCTGCAGGAGAACAGATCTGAACACAGTTAATGTATAAACCATGTTCAGTAGGTTGTCTTTACCCAAAGTGTTTTCTTAAATAGCTCTGATTTTGCCTGAAGCCCCAAAATAAACCTTTTTGTCTAACCTAATAAAGTTATTCTAACTAAAGTGTAGGTTTAAATAATGACGTCAAATTGTCCTTTAATATTAATTAACTTTTATAAAAGTTACCAATATGTAGACTAACAAATGTTATCTTAGGTTTTATAGTTTATTAAAATGGCAGCTGACGTTTTTCTTTGTTTTGTACCCGAGCTTCTGAAGATATGAAAAAGTAAACACCATTAAACCAACTTCTTAGTATGACGGAGGACTAGGGCCATTTTAAAGAAAACAAAATCCAGAATTTCGAGAATAAACACGTACATTACGAGAATAAAATCATAAATTTGGAAGATTAATCTTGTAAATGTACGAGTTGGAGACCAGCCTGCGAGTAAATGATGAAAGTAGAACTCTTAAAGTATTTTCCTCTGCAGACACTTCCTGCACGTCAGTGTGGTTCTTTCTTCAGTTTCTTGCAGTATCTTTTCAGGGTGCTGATATTTTATGACAATGTGAAGATGATGTGCCAAAAGCATGTGTAGTTTCATATCTGTATAAGTAAAGCCCCAACACAACTATTTGTGTCTGTTATCTGTCTGCCTTGTTAAAGTGTCTCATGTGCAGACAGTTTGTGTCCTCTTTATCATTTGACAGACAAACAAGGTCTTGCAAATTGAAGTGAAAACTTCTCTTGAACTAACTGTTTTACCGACAACACAAGGAAGTAGCCTATTTCCTTATTAGTGAAACCTTTACTAAAGTATTAGAAGATGCTCCATGTTTGTCATTTCAGAACAGGTTACCCTCCGTACATCTCAGTCCTCACAGGATGTATCCCTTCAACATCAGCGGTGGTAAAAACACAGATATAAAATAAAGAAAACACGTCCTCTATACATTTTCTGACAAACTTTCCAAACAGAAGGACACAAATAAATAAATTACTTTTTTTAAGGTATATAAAACATGCATAGACGTTACCTTTAGATGGAGAAAAACAAACTGCGACACAGATTGATAATGGAAGTAATTCAGCAACCACACTTGTTCTTCTTTAACCCAACCCCTTAAACATTACACAGACTACATTAAAGAGGAAGAAGCTGCAGGAGAACAGATCTGAACACAGTTAATGTATAAACCATGTTCAGTAGGTTGTCTTTACCCAAAGTGTTTTCTTAAATAGCTCTGATTTTAGGAATATTATTGACTCTGGTTCTTCAGAAGCTTCTTCCAGAGAATGTGTGACTACTGCTCAGTCTGTGTTTTTAACAGAGCAGACACTAATGTGATGTTAGTGTAACAGTGTTAATGATTCCACTTATTTCACTAGCTTTGATTGTGCTGATACAGTTTTACAATGTAGGACTTAAAACATCACAACTTCACAACTTGGATATAATCGACATTTCCCACTCCTCATTAAGACTTTTAATGGCCCTTATAGCTGTCATCAGGATCAGTTAGGCCTGCACACTTTAAGTTCTTCATTTTGAGTTAAATATAACAACAATATACATTTTTAATAAAACAATATTTTCATTATAAAACATTAATATAATCAAGAATATCTCTATAAGAGGAGCTTTCTGTTATTTCTGTGGTTGGGGGCGGGACATCATTAAGAGTTGTGTTCCTCACCTGGCCAGGAGAGGCAGAGCACGTGGCAGGTTGATCACAGGAGGATGTTTGAGAGTGGTTCTGTGTATCATTCAAAAGTTTAATAAAGAGAAGACTGACCCATGAGTGAAGTTTCCTTTACCCCCCTTTCGGTTGATGCAGCCCATGAGGTGAACTGTTGTGTTCTGGTTGTTGTTTCTATATTATAGCCTACCTGAAGCTAATGGCTAATATGTTAATAGTAAAGCTAATGGCTAACATGCTAACAGGCTAAACTAGTGGCAATCATGATAGCATGAATGACAGCCTGCCATTGTAGTCCATGTTTAAAAAGCTACATTGTGTAAATATGTCAATTTGTGTTTGTGACATGTTTTTGATGCTCTCTTATTTTATGCTTTGTATATTTTGTTTAGTTCTCACAGCATGATTGATGGCATGGACATGCTCATGAATACCTGTAGCTCAAAGAACACCTTGGTTTCATGATTTCAACTTGAGGTTAGTAACAGCCATTCACGTGCTCATAACTCGTAAACGGGACATTTCCGAGGAGCACATCAAGGCAGCGTAGTCTCACCCCTGTTCTTCTTAAACCACACCCCTCAAATGAATAAAAATGTAAACTACATACCTGATGTTCTTCATTCTGCCGCTGAAGCACAAAGGAGCTCTGTGCTACGTCTTCTAGCGTCCATGTTTGTTGCTTTGTGTGCTTATGAAAAGTGTCATCAGTAGAAGTGACGATATAGGATAGGATAGGATGGTACTTTATTGATCCCCATAGGAGAAATTCGGGCGTTGCAGCAGCAGACAAGGTCATACAGAATACAATATAATCAGGTTAATGAGCGGATGTTGTTTGCAAATTTAAAAAAACATACAATTAATGAAAAACATTACTTGGCTTCACAGACCACACCACTGCAAATTACCTATTGATGGCCATATGATGGCTCCTACACGTGTATATACCTTTATAAAAGGAGAGATTCAAGTTTAGCATTGTTTGAAAAAAACATGGAAAGTTGTTTATCGTTCCTCTATTGAAATAAAGGTGGGTATGTCGTGATTGGCTGAATAGGAAGGAGACATCTGATTGGCTACAGACATTTCCCTGCTGTAAAAAATGTTTTTGTGAAAAAAAATCATTCATTATTTTAAATGTTTCATGATTAAAGATAGATGATGATGAATGTGCCGTCACTCAATGATGTTTAGATCCCAACTCCAGCAAACTTCTGGGATGTAGGGAGACTCGACCAGGCCCCTTTCCTGTTAAAAACCCATAGACAGAACTTCAATTACAGACAGTACTACTAAAAGGTCCATTTAGAGTTGTATAATCTTTTGGTTCATAACATCTGTTCATAGTGAAAAAAGGATGCACAACACGATTTCTACAAGATGTATAAATGACAAAAAAGCTGCAAGATGGTGGTGACCTCTTACAAATAATCCAAGCGCTGTCTCAAACAGTCACTCATAACTGATGAAACTTTATTAGCAGAATCAGCTTTATTGTCCAGATATGCTTAATCACACAAGGAATTTTACTTTGGTAAACTGTGCTCTCTTTGTACAAAGGTATAATATTAAATATCAACAATAAACAAATAAGCAAAGACTAATATGTACAAGGCTAAATAGGCTAAATGCACAAAAACGTCCAATAACTGGGAACTGGCTCCTTGAGCTCCTCTCTCTCTCTTCCTCTTTCTCTCTCTGAATTCATATCATATGACTGCATGTTGAAAAGTATCTGCTGCGTTCACATTTCAGCTCACCCTGAAAAAGGGGACGTCTGCAAAACGTGACTTTTGAAACACTCAAAACCAGCAAGACGTTTTCTCAAAAGGGGAATTCGCTGACTTTCAACCAGCTGCGTACCACAAGTCCTATTCGGACTGCTGTTTCAATATTTACGTCCCTGTGATGGTTCACCTTCAATCTGAATGTTGCAGAGGTGTAATGTGGGGAAGAAGTGATCCCCCTCTATACCATCTTCAGAGGTAGTAACACAGAAGCATTACAGCAGCTGAAAGAACAGCGCTGTGTGTGTGTGTGTGTGTGTGTGTGTGCATGATAATGTATGTGTGGTCATGGAAAAATTTGTACTAATTCCAGTGACATTTGAATGTTGATAAAATCTTACCTGAAACAAATGTATAGTTCAGCAGAATGTTTTTTCTTGGGCCTAAATTTGTTGGGAAGAGAGAGGGAGAGAGATTAGATCGTTAGATATTAAACATTAGCAACTGCTGAACAGAGAAATCGCAAAGTAGGAATATGTGCAGTCAAAGTTAATTGTCTTCAATCAGAAGAGGTTTCCCATGCTTCTCACATAATATGAAACCTTGTGGCCTATAGGGCTCAACAGTGTGGATCCAGAAGTAGAACTCCCATTCATTTTCTCCATTGTGGATTTGATTATTAGCCATAACATCATCATAACCATCCAAAGTAGACTGACCACGAGCTACATGAGTGCGAAACGATGGCATGCTCCTGTAGGAGACCCAAGTTTGAATGATATTAACCTGATGATATTAAAACGTGGTTTATTCCCAATCGGGGAAAAGAACTACACTACCCACGATCAGTGAGCGTCACAGCGACGTCTCTGATTGGTGGAGACAAAGGCAATGTTTTCCGCTCCTCTGCGCCAAATGTGAACGTGATAGTTTAACTAGCAGGCTATAACGATGACAAAAGTTACATTTAAGAAGAAGCAGTATCACTCTGAATGGATTGTTGGATGGGTAGAAAATTATATACATCGTCTTGTACCTTTATCCTATTCCCCTACCCACATGGGGGAGGGGTTACTGCCCTTTGTGATGTCATGAAGGGAAAATCTCAAAACAGCCTGTTTGAACACATTTTCTGAAAAGTGGAGCAGCTAAAGATGGAGAGGATGAACTTCTCCCTTTATTCTTAATATTGGGGGGTTTGGAGACAGACTAGCGACACATATGACTGTTAGAAACACTTGTTAAAGTGTATTTTAAATATGTAACCTTTAATTTATGATATAAAGTCTTTACAGTCAGATGATAACGAGACGCCAAACATGTCTCAGGGGACCAGGGTGTGTGTGTGTGTGTGTGTGTGTGTGTGTGTGTGTGTGTGTGTGTGTGTGTGTGTGTGTAATAATTGCAATAACATTTAAAGGTTGATTAAATCTTACCTTAGAGATGATCTTTTTTCTTTGAAGGACCTGACAGTTGACATCATGCAGTGGTTCAGGTCAGTGTAAGACTACATGTAACTGTAAGACAGTTTGAAGATTGCAATGTTAAACATCCAGACCCAACAAATGCTGAAAAGTACAAATTAGGAATCAGTCCAGTAAAAGTTGACTGTGTTCATTCCAAGGTTAGGATTGTTAACGAAATCAAACAAATAACAAAAACTCAAGTGTAAAAAACATTTTCATTAACTGAAACTAAAATTTAAAACAACTTTACCAAAAACATAACAGAAACAGTATTGTGTAAAAAAAAAGACCTAAAATAAAATCATAGAGAAAATGTCTTTAGTTTTTGTCTCTGACACAAACGTACAGAGTGACACTCGGCCTGTCATTACATGTTGTCTCGAGTATTTCAGTTTCAATTCTGGATAAACTCACTGACCGCACAAGTTAAAACTTTTTTCACTGACTCACATAATATGTCTAAGGTTCATAAAAAAAAAGTAGCTTGATATGTTCTCTGAAAGATTTACGATACAGAGACCAACAAAATGGGGGCGGCAGTAACTCAGTCTGTAGGGGCTTAGGTTGGGAACCAGAGGGTCGCCTGTTCAAGTCCCGGTGCGGACCAAATCTGGAAGTTTGTCTGGTAGCTGGAGAGGTGCCAAAAAATAAATAAAACTAAGCATTTACAAAAAATAAAACGGTATAATATAATAATAATATAATATAAATAAAACGGTATAATATAATAATAATATAATATAAATAAAAACGGTATAATATAATAATAATATAATATAAATAAAAACGGTATGGATTCTGTATGTGCAGACGAGACACACCTGTTTCCAATCTGCTCGTCAACCTTACAATAAAAGCATAGGCCTGTATTCAAAATCCCTCTCCTCTCAGAGCATTAGCGTAAAAGATCCTAGGAAGGATTTTTAGTTTAGGAACATTCTCAGGGCAACTCTTTTACAAGGATCTTGTCTTAACTTTAAGGGGAAATTCTTAGAAAATGTCATGATTCTCCAAATTGTCTTAAAATTTGGTCACTAAGAGCAACTCTTAGTATTTTGGAGGATTGTTATGTCAAAACTATTTGAATATTCGTACAGATCCACAAATGTGTAAATAGAGATCCACAAATGCACACACAGATCCACAAATGTGTAAAAAAAAGAAAAATCCACAAATGCGTGTACTAATCTGCAAATCTGTAGACCAATTTCTAAATGTTTACTTATTTATTAATAGCAGTGAACTTTTTCAGCTGTAAATCCTGAAAATACACACAAATGACCTCTTACAACTGAGGCGGGCCTCTCCATTGGCTGTCATTTTACATACATTTTACAACACTCCTGTAATGTTGATGACAGCTTTAAGTGAAGCAACAACGCCATCTATGGGTGACACATTTATATAGAGCAGTCATGTAGCTCAGTCATGGTTAGTTAGTCACTGTTTGTGCATGTAACCGGCAGCCTCTGGATTAAAGCCTATACATTGCTACGTCGTTGTCCGCCTGCTTCATCTCGGGGTTTTACAAACATTACAACTCCTGCCGTGCAAAATCCACAAATGCGCACACATATCTTCAAATGTGTGTCTGTACTTTTTGAGAAATCCTTGAGAAGTACTTTATATCACTTGTGCATGTAGTCTAGGAAGTACTAACTCCAACCATTTCAGAATCATTTTCTGCTTGTGGAAGAATTGTTTTTTACAAGACATCAAAGTCAGAAAAAAGAGTCATTATAGTGATTTATAAGGGACTTTGACAATGGATTTCTCAAAAAGTACACCGTAAAAGTACTTCATAGTACAGGTGCATGTAGTCTAGGAAGTACTTAGTCCAACCATATCAGAATCATGGTATACTTATGTAAGAAAATAGATATAATTATTTTTTTATCCAAGAAAACTGTTTTTTTTTTTTTTTTTTTCAATTGTTAACACCTTATTTTGAAAAACGGAACTCGCAGACTCGCAGAATTATTCTCATACTAACTTCTCCGACCTCCGCAGCTATTCCCTGTTTTGTATTCTGTTTACTCCAAGGGGCAACCTCCGGTCTCGAAAAATGAAGCCTATGCGGAAGTACAAAAAACTGCAGTTCCTCGAGGTTCCGCTTGAGGCTGGCTGCAGAAGCGCCGGAAGTGCCATAAGCCCACAGCCAAAAAAGCCCGTTTTTACCACAGGAATCAACATGTTTACAGCCTGGTTCAAAAAACGAGATATATCTGAGAAGTTGACGGCCCCTTCTCCTCACACTGTGGGGGGGTGAATTTTTTTATAACTCATCGGATTTTATTCTATTAAGGAAACCGGCTATGCCCATATTTGGTTGTGTCAGATTTGATTGACAGCTCTGCGCGGTCAGCAGGTCAGGAGGCTAACAGCTTGATCCGTCTGATTTCTCCTCTTTCTTACTTCGTTTGGAGAGTTTGTTTAACACATATCTGACAACATACATGGCTTGCTGTGCGGTTAACAGACCATCCAACAAGTTGATGCTTCAGTTTTTTTCGGTAAGTGATATAGTAGTGTTATATTTACTGCTTACTCATGTTTATATTTACGGACCTAGCTTGTTTAGCGTTAGCTTGTAAACCAGTCGACTAACTGTGTAGCTCATTATTTACGGTCAATGGTTTAGAAATGTTTGTTGTTAAGATGTTGTTGTTGAAAATAGTGAGTTTGTGTGATGTTAGAAGCTAAAGGTTCACCTCGGTGGTTATCTGACGTTATGATGAATGTTATACTCCACCTAAATGTGGACATTAAAAAACAAACTTTGTGTAGTAATTATCCGTCAGTAACATAAACTGAACTGAACCTAATGTGCTGTGTAGGTTATAGAGGATGACATTAAAGTTACATGGTTGATGTAGTGTCTTAAGGTTTGAGCAAACTATTAACAAATAAAAAAAACTTCACTTTGTAAGAGCATCTGTAACCATTAAGAACTATATTAATAACCATATTAATTTTCACTGAACTCATACACAGAATATAGCAGTAGAAATATAAAATATAAATAACATATGGAATGAAAATAAGATTTAAAGCACATAGATATAAAGTATAAGAAATAGTTTGAAGAATACAGCCATGTACTGAGCTCATGTTAATAATAAATGAGTTACTGTATGTTCTGTACTAAAGCACAGAGAGTTGGGACCTGTTAATGATTTAAATAATTCAGATTATATTTGTTTCATGTTAAGATGAAGTACTATCCACAATAAACTGCTGAATTTTTCCTCACACAAAATCTGAGACAATTTGATGTGGAATATCATTGTGTGAGTGAGAGAGCTGAAAACAGCATGATTACAATAATGTTTATCTTCTTAACTTTGAATAGATGTTGATTACCTGAATACTGTAACTTTGTTGTCTGGGTAGTACACTGTTGAATTTATAAATGTGCTCTTACACACAGATGAATACAGAAAAATAGATGAGAACAAAAAAATGATTTAATGAATAACTGATATTTTCTCTCTTTCTTTGTCATCCTGAAGACCCCTCACTAAAAGTCCATGTTCTCCTGGATCCATGTCACATGCTCAAGCTTCTTCTGAATGACTTTTCAACAGTCAAAGTTCTGGTGAGAGAAGATGGCCAGCAGATAAGACAGCAGTACATGAAGGAGCTCCACAAGCTTCAGGAGAAGGAGGAGGGTTTGCACCTTGGAAGACTGTATTCATGCTGTTCAAATAAAAATAGATCTCCTCCAAACAACTCGCAATCAAACTATTTTCTTCCCATTTTAAAACCCTTTGTCCAGTTTAGATGGGAGAAGTTGATATTATGTGATATTGATCAGGGAAGACTACATTTCTAAATCATTTTTAACTGTGTTTTTATTCACAAGTTATTGATCTTATTTACTCTCCATGTATCTTGATTTTAAAATGGGGCTGTGTTTAAGGTCATATTTTTGCAATGACTCTGTTCCATCCCACTTTCAGAAATGAACTGCATTAGTATTTATCAAAAGAATAAGAAGTTGTGTAAAAGTAGACTTCCTTCCCTAAGCTATTGAGTTGAGCATTAATCTGAAATGTATACTCATAAGTAGACATAAAGGAGTGAACTTATATAGAAATATTTTTTTAATCTGAAAAACAACATTAAAAAAAGTCTGTTTTTACAGCAGAGATTAACATGTTTACAGCTTGGTACAAAACAAACAAATAGGTGTGATTAGCTCATGTCTCGATGGACACACACTGTACGGGGGGATGAATGTTTTGATGACTCATCAGTTTTGATTTGATGAAGGATAAGAGTTATTCACAATAAGGTGTGTAGCTGACCAGCTTGATAGGTGGGCGCGGTGTAACGGTTTGTCAAGATTCTTAAAACCCGCCTCAGCTCTCAGCCTGTGGGTGACATCACTCAGTCCGTCCGGGGGAGACCTCCCTCACAGCGAGCTGTTGAAGAGAAGCAACTGAAGTCCACCCCAGAAGAACCAACAAATACAGATGTTGTTGAGGCTCAGGTTTCTTCCTCTGTCTCTGCAGCTCTCTGGGCACCTCGACGGACAAGTCACCAATAATCCACACTGTGTCTATAGGAGAAATACAAAGGTGTTCAATTAATGCCTCAGACAAGACAAAATGTACAGTTAACTACATGTGACAGCTCAGGCTGTTTTTTTGTTATGAGCCACATCTGCAGGAATAATATTGAACAAGGTAGCTGCAACTCATCATAATAGATGCCAGTCTTAAACACTATTTTTTCTAATATTTAAAGTTTTTGGTGTGAAGCTGACACTGTCCACAGACTCCATGACTTCACAGGTTCTATAGAAAACAAATGTCTTATAATAAATACTAAATAATTATTTTTCAATTGTCATCTTCACCTCATCGCTGTTGACATCAGTAAATATAAAACACAGACATTCCTCTTTGTCAGAACAGTAACATGAACTGTATGCTTTGTAATATTGATTTCTTCTGGATGTCTCATATTTATTTACAGTCTATGGATAAAACTTTGTTAATGTATTTCTCTGCTAACACTGACAAAGTCTAACTTCTCTAACAAATGACTCATAAACATAATTGTATATTTAAAAAAGTGTAGTTTTAAGACTTTAATTAAATATTTGGGTTGAATATAATTAGTTTTAACTGTGTTGTAGAAAAGTTAAATGTTAACTTACTGTTTGTAGAGTTTTCTCAGGATGAGCAGGAATAGTTGATGATAGCAGCCTAGCTGTTAGCTATGCTGTGAAGTGGACTGCTAACGTCGAGCTGAATGGGCGGAGCTAAGTCCCGCCGGTCCCGCCTTACTGCTGTAGCTAGGTTGATCCGAAGTTAGGTT